TATATACAGGTGTGTGTGTTAGAAAAATTATCTACAGATCCATATGTAAATATGCACATATATGTGTATATGCATGATATATGCATATATTTGGTATATATATAAATATATATATGGAAACATATATTGTCTTTAATCAATAAGTTTATACAAAATACATATTTTGAAAAAAACTTCATGGACTTCATAATTTTTATACCAAAATAAACTTGTAATTTAATTTTATTTTTCCATGAAATTTTTGAAATGCTCCTCAGATTTGTAGCCTTACGTATATCTCTTCATTATGCAATACATTTTCTTTAAACTCATTTCAGATCTTTGGCCATGCCAAAAACTTCCCAGTCACCATGTAATTGCTTATGCTGTTTACCCTACCAACTCTCATGCCCTAAATGTATTGTACTTGACAAAAATTTTAACACCTGATTCAAATTTACCTCTTCTTCTCCATTTTGTGCCTAGAACATTGTCTAGAAAAAAATACTCACACAATAAATGTATGCACTGAATGAAGACTTTCTGATATATAGTTTGAAGACAGATGCAAGTATATCAAAATAAAATTAATTCATGGAACCAGCAGTTAGCGTATTGGCTATGTCGCTGGGCTCTCACGTAGTCGACCATGGTTTGAGTCCCGGATCCGGCGGCTTAAACTCACGTCGGGCGCGTGTGCATGCATGCCCAAGATCCCAAGAGGAGAATGGAGAAGAAAGGATTAAGGCGTGGCTATCGCCCCTGGGGGGTGATTTCTCACTTTCTGTCTCTCTGTATCTCTCTGTCTTTCTGGCGAGCACACATGCCCTATAGCAAAAACCCCTCCAAATAAATAAATAAATAAATAAATAAAACTAATTCTTAATTGATTTTCTTTAGACACATTGACTTTAAAGATTTTTTTACTTCTTTATCACTAGATAAACACATTTTTTCTTCTTCCCTCTTTATTTCACCATCACTTCACATAGAATATTCTCATAGATTTTTTAATAAATAGTTTTGAGTTAGTTAAACCAAATTTGATAGCAAATGTCAAACAAATTTTACATACAGTTATGTTCTGTTCTGAAAACCAATTTGTTTCCTTGAAGTATTCTCAAGATGTAGAAAAACACATTACATCATTTCATCTTATGTTGAATCAACTCCTCAGTGGGATTGTTTAATTGCTCACATACCTTTTATCACTAAGGATTTGTGTATCAAAGCTTAAGTGCTTGGAATCTGATGTAAGGTCACAAAGCTAATCTCAGAGAACTCTCAAAGAAAATATAAAAGATCTTGCTTCCTGTAAGAAATCACAGCCTTCCTAAAGGAGGCACAAATTTCTTTTATAAAAATCAGAGGTCTGCCCCAAATGATGACAAATGTTGCAATGAATCAGTTCCGTTTTACTTTCATTTGATTTTTGATCCTTAAATGTCAAACAAATTCGATTCTGGTGGAAAATGAACTGGGGCTTAAAAGAATAAAGTACGAGGGTAAATGAAAGAAAGGCGGTAGCCAGGTAAGTATACTTTAATTGTAGAATATTAGAGCAGGCTGGGATGTTAAGAGCTCACCTCCTTAAAGATGAGCTCTTGAAGTGTTATAGTTACTTATTTTACACATAGGGAGCTGATAGCTAGAGAGTAAACATGCTTAGAATAACGCAGGTTTTAACTCCTCCAAGTGTTTTAAACAAAAAATGATAGCAAGACATTTAAGGGGCTCAGAAATGGAGGACTGTCTGATGATGATAATGTGTATGATAATATCTTTAAATGAACTGGCGTGCAGTGCATTTATGCTGGGAAAATTCATGTTACAAGCTGTGGTGATGTACAGTGATGGAGTGTATAAAATAAATTTTAATAAAACTGACAGAGAAAATGATAGCAACAACACATATAATAAGCACAAGATATTCTTTCTTTGCTTTTGTTTTGTTTTATTATAAGGCACATGCACTCATCAGAGACAGAAAGAGAGAAATTCCAGAGGATATTGGCTATGTCACAATCCCTTCTCCATCATTCTCTTCCATTCTCCTCTTGGGATTTTGGACATGTGCACACATGTGTCTTGTGTGATTTTCAAGTTGCTGGGTCTGGGACTAGAAACATGCAGTTAGCCTGTGGGATGCACATGCCTTAACCATTGTGACATCAACTAGCCCAGCACAAAATATTCATAAAACAACTCAGAATTGTTGGAATGTGATAATGAATTATATATAAAATAGTTCTCATTACATATTATTTATTTTTAAAGTTTTAAAGTTGAGCAAACTTTGATCAGGTTGACTCAAATTTTATGTAATACTTCTTCTAGCTTATGTTAATTCATTGATACCAACAGTTATCAATGCACAAGTAACAGGACTGAAGTGAGGTTGAGGGTTCACGTTAACAGAGGGAGAAAGTTTAAAAATTACTACAGTTCAGTATGGAAAACTTACTGCAGGCATGTCTTTCTGCTGAACTCTTTCAAAAACTTCCATTTACCAATTGCATAAAAAAAAAACAAATTATTTGACTGATTTTTATTCACTCTTCTTAACCTTCTGTTTCCTATCATCATTTCCTCTTTCATTATTTCATTAGGTTTTTATTTGTATCATTCAAACATCTTTCAGTTTAGAAGCATATAACATCCATAAAATATTATGACAAGTAATATTGTTTATATCAATTGATTGCCATCTTTAGTAAGAGTGGTTGTAAAACATCTTTGACAAAGAGGTGGTTTTTCTCCAGTAGCCTGGAAAACAAGCTTATTTAAACAGTGTACCTAAAGATAATCCTTTCTTAGATGTCTTTTTTTTACCCCCTATAGGACGCTCACATGAGGCAGAAAACAGAGAGACAGGGAGAGTGGAGAGAATGACAGTACTCCACAATAAGATGTGGTCATGCTGAACCTTCTCCTCAATTTGGTTTTCAAGTCACTGGCCAGGGTTTGAACTGTGCTTTGCCTTGTGAGATCTGTGTTCCTTAACCACTAGGCTGCAGGATCACCCCAGCACCTACTAAAAAGAAAAAGAGGGGGAGGGGGACCAGCAGTTAGCATAATGGCTATGTTGCTGAACTCCCATGTAGCCGACCATGGTTCGAATATCAGACCTGGTGGCTTAAACTCATGGCAGGCATATGTGCATGCGTGCCCAAGATCCCGAGAGGAGAATGGAGGAGAAGGGATTGCGCCATGACCATCCTCCCTAGGGGGGTGATTTCTTTCTTTCTGTCTCTCTGTCTCTCTCTGTCTTTCTGGCAAGCATACGCGCCCTATAGCAAAAACCTCTCAGGGGAAAAAAAAAAAAGTTTGTTTACTTCTTTTGTTAGAAAGAAGGTGGGACACTTGATGGAGTCTAATCAAGTCATGGACTTGCTGCCCCAACCTCCCAGACAGCCAGGATCAAGGGTGCATACCACTGCACCCACGATGCCTAGTTGTTAATGATCATTCCTCAGAATTTCCAAATCAGAGGATGGCACAACTTGCCAGCCACTGGTGCAATGCATTATTTCCCTTGCATTCACGGTGCCAATTGTTCTGCTCCTTCATCAATTTATAGTCTTGTCTCTCATGCCTGCAGGCAGGAACAGCAGAGCAGCTGTCATTTCATGAAAGTTAATATTTACTAAGGAGGAAACCACATGCATTTCAAGAAAGGAGCAACCTGGAGCCAACATTTGGCATGGCGATTAAGGCCACTGGACTCTCATAAGATTGACTATGGTTCAAGTCCCTGACCCAGTGGCTTGAAAATCACTATGGGCATGAGTGTATGCATGCCCAGAGTCCCAGGAAGATAATGGAGGCAAAAGGTAAATTGACAATTTAGTTTAAAAAATTAGAAACCTGTGCATTATACTATGAAGTTATCTTCAAAAACCTCATAAAAATGCAACTATGAAAAAAATGCATTGATTCCCAAATACTTTGCATTAAAATAAACTTAGACTTTTATTTTTCAAGATCTTTTATACAAGGGACTTCAAAAAATTTATGAAAAAAAAGAAATTAAAATTAGTCTATTTTAGTGCAAAATCATTTGAAATCTATGCAGAGTTATTTTAGAATATAATTTTTCCATGAGTTTTTGAAGACTCCTTATTTAAACTATGGACATTTCTAGTTGCTATGAAGATACCCAAGTGGATTTGGAATCACTAATCTCTTATTTTGAACTTTATTTTTTTCTTTTTCTTTTTTCAGTGACAAATAACCTTATTATGAACATTTCCATTATTACTCTGCTGGGACCCTAGAAACTCAGAAACACTGCAGAAAATGGAGTTGGAGAATACCACTGTGAAAACTGAATTTTTTCTCCTAGGATTTAGTCACCTCCCACAACTTCAAAGTCTTCTTTTTATGGTATTTTTTTCTATCTATTTTGTAACACTGCTGGGGAACCTTGGGATGATTTTGTTGATCACAATCAGTTCCCACTTGCACACCCCAATGTACTTTTTCCTCTGCATCCTGTCCTTTGTAGATGCATGCTACTCTTCTGTCATTGCCCCCAAACTACTTGTGAACTTGGTTTCTGACAAGAAGACCATTTCTTATAATGGCTGTGCCACACAACTCTATTTTTTCTGCTCTTTGGTTGATACAGAATCTTTCCTGTTGGCTGCCATGTCTTATGACCGATACATCGCAATCTGCAACCCATTGCTTTACACCGTTATTATGTCCAAGAGAGTCTGTTGCCAGTTGGCAATTGGAGCATTTTTAGGGGGCACGATGAGTTCAATTATTCACACTACGAACACCTTCCATTTGTCTTTCTGTTCCAAAGAAATTGACCATTTCTTTTGTGATATCTCCCCACTCTTCTCTCTGTCCTGCACTGATACTTATGTGCATGACATTATTTTGGTGGTCTTTGCTAGTTTGGTGGAAGCTATATGCCTTCTCACAGTTCTCCTCTCTTATGTCTGCATCATAGTGGCTATTCTGAAAACAGGTTCTGCTGAAGGAAGAAGAAAAGGGTTCTCCACTTGTGCTTCCCACCTGATTGTAGTCACTATTTATCATGGCACCTTGATCTTCATTTATCTGCGCCCCAGCACAGGTCATTCAATGGATACAGACAAAGTGACCTCTGTGTTCTATACATTGATTATACCTATGTTGAATCCCTTTATTTACAGTCTAAGGAACAAAGATGTCAAAAGTGCCTTTAGAAAAATGATTAGCAGAAAATTATTTTCTTAGACTAGTAGAAGTTGGGCCTGATGAATTTTCAACAATGTTTATTTCTTGACCTTTGGTTCTAATTGCTAAAAAATGTGATATAGATGTTCTGCAAATCTGTGAGTAATGAGACCTCAACCAATAAATAGGGTCAGAGCTTAATATTAGAGTTGGACTCTTTCATGTTCACTTACATTATATCTCTATTATTCTAAACTACTTTTAGAAGTTTCTTCCTTTCTTTCCTCATGAATAAGAGACACAGAGAGAGATAAAGAAAGAAAGTGAGGTAAAGACACATGTACTCCTAACAGGGTTTTCAAAGCACGTCCACCTCCATCCTCAGCCAGTCCTGGATCATGGATACAGGCAAGCCCAGGGTATTATGGGACATTTTCATTTGCAAACTCAAAACCTTCTTCTGTGGGTTAGCCTAACAAGGTGTTGTATTACTGCAGCAACATCATACACTTCCTAAAGCTTAAAGTTTAATGTTTACTTAGGGGGGCAGATTTGCCCTTCACTTAATCTCTCATATCTTTTATTGTTAGTTCTTTTATATTCCCACTCTAATTTTTTTTTCATTTCATTTTCTTCCATACATTCAATCACATTATTATTTGTCTTACAAAATGGATATTTTGACAGGTGAACATTTCTCCCTAACACAGTTGATAAAACTACATAATATCTTCAACAGATAATACCACACCTCTTTGTGCCATTAATGCTTTGCCTACTCTAAAGTTTTATCACAGTAATCCTCAGTAATAGATATGCCACTAACATACAATAATCCCCTTTTTGCAAAAGTTAATAAGTGCAATTCACCTAAACTCCTTATCAATTATTTTTTATTTCCATGTAAATATATACACATTGTAGCTTAGTTGTCTAAATTCTACTCACTCTAAAAATATTAACCCCTCATATTTTTACTGGTAACCCCTCAGATTTTAACCCAAACATTATTTTTTCCCAATTCCCATAAATTACAAATACCTCATCTTCTAAATCCTGCAAGAATTTTAGAAGCTTTTTATGACTCTTATTTTTATTTATTTTATATATTCAATCACTGTGTATCATGACAGCTTGCAAAGTGAATTTTCCCAGCATAAATATGATGCAGTCCATTCTACTTAAAGATATTATTATACACATTTATCACCAGTAGAAAATCCTCTAATTCTCTGTCCCTATTTTCCTCCTTGATTCCCTTCCTCTCAACCTCCCTCATTCTCCCACCCACTTCTCACACTGCCTCTGGTATCTGCACCCATTCTCCATGCTACTATATTCTCCAATCTTTCAGTTTCCACCACAGAGTGCAGACATTTGGTATATATTAAGTGGGGAGATACAATGTCTCTCTTTCATAGTCTGGTTTGCTTCACTTAGTAGTAAATCTTCCATATTTGCCCACTTTCTATTTTTATCTTACCTTGTTATTTTGTATCTATATTATATTTCTCTCTTAGAATTAATCATTAATATTTATTCATTACCTGATTTCTTGCCTTTTTGTCACAGTATATTCCCCAGTGTGGATTTCAATGAATTGTTACTAAGTAAATATAGTAAATTTATGACTGACATTCATAAACTATTGATTTATCTTATGATATTTTTGGTTGACTCTATATAAAAGTGACTATTACAAAATATTGTTAAGTGTGATTTTTTTTTTAATGTGTAACTATAGACTAAATTTAAGTCAGGCTCATTAACTAGCTTGTCAAGAATATATTGACTTTGAAATCTCTTGACTAGTAAGCAAGCAGTTAAAAACTAATGAAGGAAATTTCATTGCTCTGTGAGCCATGGAACTGGTGTCTATAAATGTTGAGGTGATAGTTTGGTTGGCTCCTGGGACATGACCCACCCATAGAGTAACTGTGTCTGGAAAATCTGACACAAAGATGTTAAATACAAATTTAAGGCTGTATAGTGGGATAGGAGATAAACTAGAGAGGAAAGCTTTCTGGCAATGAAAACATGCGCTGGGTTCTGAATCTAGACCAGAGTTTCATTCACTCAAGTGTGATGTATTTTTATAAGAAGGGGCTTGTCTATACAGATCAATGGTGAACTAGTGCTCTCTGGTCAATTTGGTTTGTAAATAGTAAAGACTAGAATAGCATCCTGAAGTTTATGATGATTTTATGTTTCACCATAAATACTGAGCAGAGGATATTCTCCAAAGTGCAGGGTTCCCTCATGATAGCATATTCGCAACTTTCTAAACAAATGTGTCATTCCATCCATGGTCCTTGGCATAGGCCCATATAGGATAACATAAAATGAGGTACTCTGGGATTAATTATCTAAACTTACTTGGGAATTTAGGGTCTGAAATTTAGGTCAATAGCATAGTTTCAGACATCTCACCTGAACAAATCAATGGTGTGGCCATAAAAAACCTATATTTAGCTCCAGCCAGGAGTGCAGAAAGAATTAGAAAAAATAAGTTACAAGACAGCAGAGAGTTACAGATATGGCCTGAGGTGGGACCTGCAATGGAATATGATCAACCAGGTGAGACGCTCTAGAAAAGACAGATGTTGGAGCCTGGAGACTCTGTTTTATAACATGATGACATGAATGATACCATTCTTTTATTTGATACCAAGCATGTAATTTCTCATAGTTGGGTCATATGATCTTAAAAAAAATTCTCTTGATCAATCTCTGGTGAATATCTATATATCTATCTAATTATCATCTGTCTATCTATCTATCTATGTATCTATATATATATGGAAATACTGGGTTGTTCAGGAAGTCATGACACATTTTTGCATTGAAAAAAGATAAAACAGAAAACTATGTCATGACTTTCCTGACAATCTTTTAGATAGAATCATATAACGTATACATTAAGCCTATGTTTAAAAATATTAGAAATTTGGAGCCTGCCAAAGTTAAGTGATTTGCCTAAAGTGATAGTGTACAGATTTGGACCTATGTCTGCGTTAGATAGAATTGCAAGTTGTTATCCTAAACTCTCTCCCATTCTTGTCATTTTCTTAAAATGAAAAAAAGGCATGGATTCCTGACAATATAAGATGACTATTAAATCATCGTCTTTAAAGGAAACAATTAAAAAAATAAAATGATAAGGAATTTATTTTCCTTTACAAATATTTGGAAGATTGGCAGTGAAGTTAAGTTTAGCACAATCATGTTTAGTTTTTTCCTATTTTTTACATTCAATCACTGCTTATTCTTACAACATATGAAACAATTTTTTTCAACATGAATACATAGCATGCTAGTCCAGTCAAAGAAATTACCATACACATTGTCATCAACAGATAATTTTCACATTTAGTTTTTTTATAGGTATTGTATAAATATAGAATTTAACATATTCTGATAAAGTACATTGAGTTGTGAAAAGGTAATTGAGAAGTTGGGATAAGAGCTATATTCTATGAACTACAAATACATCATTTGAGATAATAGAAGAAAGTAAATATTTAAGAGACAGTAAAATATTTTTGTCTGAAAATTCAGTTCAATCAGAAAAGCAAAAAAAACAAAATCCTGC